AATGCAGATGAGCTGAAGGCCACTGTCAAAGAAACCTGGGCTTCCATATCACCTCAGCAGTGCCACAAACTAATTACCTCCATGCCACGCCGAGTTGAGGCAGTAATTAAAGCAAAAGGAGCCCCTACCAAGTATTGAGTACATGTACAGTAAATTAACATACTTTCCAGACGGCCAACAATTCACTAAACATTTTTTTTTATTGGTCTTATGAAGTATTCTAATTTGTTGAGATAGTGAATTGGTGGGTTTTTGTTAAATGTGAGCCAAAATCATCACAATTAAAAGAACCAAAGACTTAAACTACTTCAGTCTGTGTGCATTGAATTTATTTAATACATGAGTTTCACAATTTGAGTTGAATTAATGAACTTAATTAGTAATAATTAAGTTGAAATAAATGAACTTTTCCACGACATTCTAATTTATTGAGATGCACCTGTATATATTTGTGCTTGAGTGTTACGTGCGGCTGTGGTTATTTTCACATTACTCCTATCCAAATACACCACCCTTATTTCCTGTTAGAAACTAGTATCTAAGCAATTCCACAACAACAAGCTTCCTTTAAAGCAGCCATTGAGTGAACTTGAGAGCATGTGCTTTTTCATTTACTGACACAGTCATAGTGAAAGATGAATTTATGAACTTGTTTTGTGAAAGTATTGCTCATCAAATTGTTCCAAACCTGTATGCGCTGCTTTCTTCTGTTGAACACACAAAAAGATATTTTGAACCAAACAATTACCAGTAGCCATTGTCAGGTTTGGAACAACTTGAGGGTGAGTAAATGATGACAGAATTTTCACTTTTGGGTGAACTCTCTTTAGGCATATTAAAAACACCAGACAGACAATTAAACAAAGTTAAAAAATTGATTTTCACCACCGAGGGTCTTTCAGTTTCTTCAACTTGAATAGAATTAGCAAAACTGAAGAATTAGTGCATGATATCAGGTGTTTGATGATATGTGAAATGTGACTGCTGGTGTTTCAAGCCACATTTGAACTCATGAGTCTTAAAATAAACTAGAATGGTGTTGTATACTCTGATCTGATGGTCTTATTCCCACAGTGAATGTCGTGGAGGCCTTGCAGGAGTTCTGGCAGATGAAGCAATCACGAGGTGCTGACCTGAGGAACGGGGCTCTTGTCGTCTATGAGATGGTCCCATCCAATAACCCCCCTTACATCTGCTACGTCAGTCTCCCTGGGGGAAGTTGCTTCGGGAGTTTTCAGGCAAGCAATATTCTCTTTACATTTTCCAATGCATTTGTCTAGGAACTTCAGATCTTCAGAAATAAATAATTGTGTTTTGGTTGCCATCTGTGTCTGCATATTTTCTGCCTAATGTTTTCTCTTGAGGATCTCTTGGAAATTAATTCTGTGAGCATCTTCAGGATTCGATTACAGTGTGGTTAAATAGCATCTTTGATCTTCTCAGTTCTGCCCGACCAAAGCTGAAGCAAGACGGAGCGCGGCCAAAATAGCCCTAATGAATTCTGTTTTCAACGAGCATCCATCTCGACGCATCACAGATGAGTTCATAGAGAAGAGTGTGTGTGAGGCTCTAGCCTCCTTTAATGTGAGTTCTCACTCCACAAATAATCTATAATGTCCATCATATTGATGTCTCTTCAGTGAACAAGTCATCCTGTCTGAATCAGGAGAGAAATATGCACAAATCAAGCACAGTTTACAAGCCATAACGGTTCTAAATAAATATGCCAGTGGTTTTTCATATGAGAGGACAACAGGAGATGGAATTGTTTTATTCTGGAGGAAGTGTTATTATGGATTATGGACCCATATTTTGGTCAGAAGCAACATTTTAAAGTTAAATCACCTTGATGATGGATTTGTTCCTTGCAAACATGCAGTTTTTCACTTCACAAGACGGTAATTGATGGACCGGAGTCGTGTGGATTGCTTGTGAATTATTGTGATGTTTTTTATCAGCTGTTTGGACTCTCATTCTGACGGCACCCATTCACTGCAGAGGATCTACTGGTGAGCAAGTGATGCAATGCTACATTTCTCCAAATCTGTTCTGATGAAGAAATAAGCTCTTCTTGGATGATTGGAGAGTGATTAAATTCTATGCAAATTAGCATTTTTGAGAGAACTATTACTTCAAGATGAGCAATGCTTTGCAATAGGTCGCTTGATTCAGTGCAACAGGAAATAAAACCATGTATTGCGTCTTATAGACACTTGTTGGTTTCCCAACTCAAAATGGTCCTTATAGCCTGTACTATGCTTATAAATTAGTTGAAATCATAAATATACAATCAAATATTTAAAAATGTAATCACATTCTTATTCCATCATCATAAATAACTGTATTATAACTGATCATAATGTGTTACTGGGTGAAGTGATGTTGTAAACTTGATTGTTAATGTTTTATCCCAGCCATTTGTTTCAGTATTAGGGACTACCATATGATCATTGTAGATCAGAAGAAACGTCAAAGTGTCACCGCTTTCTCCTTGAACTGATTTTTAAAAGACTAGCTGCTAAATCTTGATACTAACATCACAATGATGCTTAATGTAGGATGTGCATGGTGAGAAACATCAATGATTGGCATTAGCCAGACAGATCTGAAAATGTACTCTAATTGTAATTATTTGTTTTCCATTGTAGTAGTTTAACTGCAGAACTGTCTTAATTATTCATTTAAAGCCCTGGAAGCTTATAGGCTGGTATTATAAAAATGGTAATATAGACAGACTGTATTACAGTTCTTTACATGACATAAGAAGAAAGAAAGTATAGTTCAATAAACTATGCACCCACAGAGTTTATTGTCGAAATGCAGCTGAATCACTGAAACCTAAAGCCCCCTTTCTTTAAACTTTCATAATGTGCAAGATCACTACAAATTATTTATTCATTTGAGACCATGTATTTTGTGAAATGACAATGAACATTTTGGGAAAGACGCCCATTACTAACAGTACAATTTGCAGTTATATTAATATTTCTTTTTCAGTGTAATTACCACGATTCTGAAAAGAACTTCTGAGTGTAATTTGTTTGTACTTTGTCATATGATTCCATCATATGCCACTAAAGTGTATTGAAATGTAAACTGCATATACATTGCATATAATTTTATACAATCTGTTGGGTCTTTCCCCTGCTGTTTTTTACTCTCTTGTTGACCAAAATTATTTTTCAAATAGTACTTAAGGTAGTGAAATTGAATCAGTGCATGTGAATACATTTTATACATTCTCGATTTGTTTTGTAGTCTTGCCATTTTACATGTTTTATAAGATTTTGATGCGGAGGAAAGCCAGTGTTTTGTTGATTTATATTCTTTACAAATCAATAAAGCAATTTAAAACTTACCCATTTCACAGGCTGTGGTCCATGGAGGTATTTTTTTTTTTTTTAGAAAAACACAACCGCGTCAAACATGTTTCACAGTAAATGCGTGTAGCCGCTATAGAAGAGACTTTTATTGAGCCAGTTCTTTTATTTTGAAACAGAGTAACTTATAAATATTTGTATATATATTTTAAAAAAAAATTGTTTGTTTATAATATAATGCAACAATTTGGAAAACAAGCGTGTTGTACTATATTGGTGTATTAAAGCAAATTCGACTCGTTAAACAAATTGACGTTCTGATATTTTTGTCAGGCAAAATAAACAACCACCCTTCTAGGGGTCCTGTAACATCCTATCGCGTTGATTTCATGTGCTTGGAGAATGCAATGACAGTTTATGAGACATAAATGCTGAAATATATGTGAATTTTGACAGAGTATTTATGCTATGTTACGGTTGGTGGCTATGGTTAATATTTCCAAATAAATACATGCATTAATCTTCTATCGTCAGGTCTGTAGTAATCATGTGGGCGGTCGCATCATCAAGGTTTGTCCTTCAAAGCTGCTGGAATCTTACAAATCTAAACTCTTCCTCGAGTCGAATACAGAATCTGTCACAAACAGCATGCAAGGTGAGCGAAAGGAAAACAACTGATCTAAATTAAAAACGCAATAGCAATCAAGTGCTGTTTTGCAATTAAGAATACATTATTTCTTCTGACTGTTATTATTGTGACGTCGTCTTGCCAAGTTGCAAATAAGATAATTTTTTATGATCTCTAAATGATTGATGACTTAAAACAGATACACATACATATACTGTGTGTGTATATATATATATATATAGTGAGTGGGTATGGAAAGTATTCAGACCCCCTTAAATTTTTCACTCTTTGTTATATTGCAGCCATTTGCTAAAATAATTTAAGTTAATTTTTTTTCCTCATTAATGTACACACAGCACCCCATATTGACAGAAAAACACAGAATTGTTGACATTTTTGCAGATTTATTAAAAAAGAAAAACTGAAATATCACATGGTCCTAAGTATTCAGACCCTTTGCTCAGTATTTAGTAGAAGCAGTGTATATATATATGTGTATATATAGGCTTCACTGAAATGGCTTTGGAGCTGGAATTGAGGTGAAAAAGCATCTACACCTTTTGATGTTTTTCTAAGCACTTATTAATTTAATCTTATTCCAGAATACAGCTATTGTTGAACGCTGTTGGAAGGTTCCTTTATCAAAAGAGGGGAAGCCACCCAAACTACATCCCCGGCGACACAGAGTGTACCGCTTGCTTGACGACACAAAACACAAACCCCAGGACAAAATGGAGCTCATCCTCACTCAGACGGTGCCCAGTGAGTGCTTTTGCCTCACAAAAAATTAAGTATGATTTCAGAACTGGGTTTTTTTTTGACGTAAATATTTATTTTACAGAGCTTGGTGGACGAGGCGCGACAGTTTTTGTGAAAAAATCAGTGGGCCGCAACAAACTGCTACCCCAAGGTCTGGCTGTCTATCCATCACAAGAAAATAAAGACATGTTTGCAGAGGAAATAAGGGTTAGTTTCATCTTCAAATCAATTCAGTTGTCATTAAAGAAATAGTTCACTAAAAAATGAAAATTTGCTGAAAATTTACTCCAGCCATCCAAGATGTTAATGAGTTTGTTTCTGCATCGGAACAGATATGGAGAAATTTAGTATTACATCACTTGCTCACCAATGGATCCTCTGCAGTGAATGGGTGCCGTCAGAATGAGTCCAAACAGCTGATAAAAACACAGCAATAATCCTAGTTACATTAAACATTGTTAATGTCTTGTGAAGTGAAAAAACTGCTTCAAGTAACAGTTTGAAATGAAAAACATCTTAATGATGACTTCATTTATTACAAACATGTAGAATTACCAAAGCATTAACTGATGGACTGGAGTCATGTGGATTATTGTGATGTTTTTATCAGATGTTTAGACTCTCATTCTGACGGCACCCATTCAATGCGGAGGATCCATTGGTGAGCAAGTGACCTCATGCAACATTTCTCTAAATGTTTTGCAATAAAAAAAACTCATATACATCTTGGATGGCCTGAGGATGAGTACATTTTAAGCCAATTTTATCTTTTGTGTGAACATCATTTCAAGTGTTCACAGTTGGCTTTTTTTCCTGTAGCTACTTCGGGAGGGACGACCCGAGGACAGAGTCCAGACACGCACAGGACAGCTAGTGAGTTAACTTGTGTGTTTTAGACTATAAAACAATATATATGTAAGCTGTTGTGTATTTGACTACAAAATTGCATGTTTAATATTGGTTTCCACATGAGCTGCTTAATTTAGTCTTTGTGTTCATGTTACAGACTGTTGAATTCTTGAAGAAAACTCAGCTTGAAGTTCCCATGCACACTTCAGTTCAGTACTCACTCAATAAAGAGATCGTTTGCAGACAGTTTCTTAGACGGGTAAGATAGAAAAAGGGAAGTATATTGGAAGCAGTAATTTTGTCAACTCAGAATCTTAAAAGCATGAAATTTAATAACCAGAAACAACACAATATATATATATATAGAGAGAGAGAGGGGAAAGGGAAGTATATTGGAAGCAGTAATTTTGTCAACTCAGAATCTTAAAAGCATGAAATTTAATAACCAGAAACAACACAATATATATATATATAGAGAGAGAGGGATGTTTTTTGTGTGTACATGTCACATCAAACAAATTTTAATATTGCACAAAGATAACCCAAGTAAATACAAAATGCAGTTTTGAAATAATGATTTCATTTATTAAGGGGAAAAAAGCAGTCCATACCTGCCTGGCACTACGTGAAAAAGTAATTGCCCCCTAAATCTAATAACTGGTTGTGCCACACTTTGCAGCAACAACTGCAATCAAGCGTTTGTGATAACTGGCAATGAGTCTTTCACATCGCTGTGGAGGAATTTTGACCCACTCTTCTTTGCAGAATTGTTTTAATTCAGCCATATTGGAGGGTTTTCGAGCAGTTTAAGGTCATGCCACAACATCTCAATCAGATTTAAGCCCAGACTTTGACTTGGCCACTCCAAAACCTTAATTTAGTTTTTCTTGAGCCATTCAGAGGTGGACTTGCTGGTGTGTTTGGGATCATTGTCCTGCTGCATAACCCAAGTGTGCTTGAGCTTGAGGTCACAAACTGATGGCTGGACATTCTCCTTCAGGATTTTCTGATAGAGTGCAGAATTCATGGTTCTGTCAATTATGGCAAGTCGTCCAGGTCCTGAAGCTGCAAAGCAGCCCCAGATCATCACACTACCACCACCATGTTTGACTGTTGGTATTATGTTCTTTTTATGAAATGCTGTGTTGGATTTATGCCAGATGTAATGGGATGCACACCTTCCAAAAAAGTTCAACTTTTGTCGCATCAGTCCACAGAATAATTGGCCAAAAGTCTTGGGGATAATCAAGATATTTTTTGGCAAATGAGAGACGAGCCTTTGTGTTATTTTTGGTCAGCAGTGGCTTTTGCTTTGGAACTCTCCCATGGATGCCGTTTTTGCCCAGTCTCTTTCTTATTGTTGAATCATGAACACTGACCTTAATTGAGGCAAGTGAGGCCTGCAGTTCTTTAGATGTTGTTCTGGGTTCTTTTATGACCTCTTGGATGAGTCGTCGTTGTGCTCTTGGAGTAATTTTGGTTGGCCGGCAACTCCTGGGAAGGTTAACCATTGTTCCAAGTTTTCTCAATTTGTGGATAATGGCTCTGACTGTGGTTCGCTGGAGTCCAAAAGCCTTAGAAATGGCTTTATAACCTTTTCCAAATCTATTTTGTTTCTCATCTGTTCTTGAATTTCTTTAGATCGTGGCATAATGTGTTGCTATTTAAGCATGCTTCACTTTGTCAGACAGGTTCTATTTAAGTGATTTCTTGATTCAACAGGTCTGGCAGTAATCAGGCCTGGGTGTGGCTAGTGAAATTTAACTCAGCTTTCTAAAATAATGTGGTTAATCACAGTTCTTTTATGATTTAACATTTGAATTAATTTTTCACGTAGGGCCAGGTAGGTTTGGACAGCTTTTTTCCCTAAATAAAAGAAATCATTTAAAACCTGCATTTTGTATTTACTTGCTTTATTTTTGTGTAATATTAACATTAG